GGACGGCATTCTGCCTATGCCCTCCGATCACATACCTCTTATGGCCGGAGCTAATGCGCACACGCGCTTGTCTAGCATTATCCTCAAAGTGGTGAAGTACATCTACCCGGTGAAGAACGCTCAGCATCGGGCCGGATCGGATCAACGCTATGTGGTGAGCCACTCCAAGATTCGGGAGATTGAAAGAGATCTTCAGGCTTGGATGGAGGAGTTGCCAGCGGCACTGCGTCCGGGAACGGAGGTCTCTCCGCAAGTAGAGCGGTATGTCTTCTGGAGTTGATTTGGTAGCGATCTTTTCTAATTGTGCTGCAGGATCCGGCAATTGCTGCGTATTAGCTACGCCCACGTTCAAGTGATGCTATACCGACCCTTCCTACACTACGTCTCCAGCGGCTCGCAGGCTCGTGGGGTGGACCGTCGTTCTTACGCTTGTGCAGCGGCGTGTGTCAGTGTTTCTCGCAACATTGTCCACATCACGACTGGCATGCACAAGAGAGGACTCCTAAATGGCTCTTTTTGGTTCACTATGTATACCACGTATTTCGCTATTTTGTCACTCCTGTTCTTCGTCCTTGAGAATCCCGACTCTCCAACGGCGAAAGACGGTGTTCTCAAGGACGCCATGGAGGGTAAGACCACACTTGCTGGCCTGGCAAAGAAGAGCATGGCAGCGGATCGTTGCTCCCAGAGTCTAGTCTGCTTGTTCAAAAACCTCCCTGAGCTGCTCAAGAACCGGCAAAGTGCGACCGCCCGTGCGAACCTCAAGCGTCCGGCGCCTTCCAGCAGCGGTCGAGCGTCGGCCAATAAAAGCTCAACCATGCCCTCGGGGATGCCGCCGCCGCAGCGGGCCAGCACCTTCCCTAATCAGCTGCTACATCGGTCAACCAAGTCGGAGGCCAGTAATACGCCGAAGAGCCTAGATGATAGCGCTGCAACACGCAATGTTGCAACCAACCCCCGTCATAGTCAGCCTCCGACGTGGTTTCCGTCCACCCCGGAGCCTCCGGCTGAGGCGGTGTCAACGCCTTCGGAGACTGCGACCAATAGTGTCTCAACCCTAGCGTCACCTGTTTCGACGTCATTGCCATCCGGAGACTCGGGCGCAAATGCATTTAACGCACAGGCCTTTGGAAACCCCGGTAACTTCCCCGATCTCATGCCTATTATGTTTCCCTCGGACGATCCGTTTGCCTATCCGACGCAACCGATGTCGACTCTGGAAAACGACCATTTCCAAGATGTGACCGGTGCGCCAGTCACCACTCAGTATGCATCGGGACTTGCATCCACAGCCGATCACAACGGTGTCAGCACGCTCGCGGCCTCGTCACCGGCCGTAGATGGATTCGCAAACTTCTCACTCTTTTCCGGTGCACCTGGCGGCCTCAACAACAGCATCACAAGCCGCCTAGCAAACCACCAACCAATGAATGCATCTCAACTACAGTCACCCGGCTCCCACGCCTCAACGCCCATTAATAGCGGCGAGGCTGTCAACAGCCCCGACCTAGTCTCCCTGCCCAACCAGAACTTCCTATGGCAGGGATACAACTTCCAGCCACAGAACTTCACCGCGGAGACGACTGTTCCCCCGACGGCCGCAAACCTTGGACAATTCGGCTTAGGTATGGACGACAATAACGCCCCGGGATTGGGCATGGGGCTGGACCTAGGACTTCCGTTGGACGATATTTTCGGAAATGGAGATGCGTGCCGCCCAGGCGGTTTAGGCGATGATTGGACGCAATGGATGAATGTTGGAGGCTAAATGATAAAAAATCGTTATATACCCATGTGTATGCGTTTGGTTTTTGGCTATGAGGCTCATGTGATGAGGTATGGCGTATGGATGGCGTTGGCAAGGCATATGTTACATAATGCTATTTTTAATGAATTATTTTTTTGTGACTTGTCTATTTTTTCTATACTGCTAGTAGCTGTCTATATACCTACGAGCTATATATCGTTCCAGGATACAACTAAAATACACGACACAGATGATACATAATATACAAACCCAGGCGTTCTGTCCAATATACCCAAAAGTCCAATACGATCACCGAACTTACCTCCTCCCTCTAGACGGCGGCTGATACCAACTCCAAATATTCAACCCGACCTTCATCCCCTGAGTGACCGGAAACGCAGCATGCCATGTCTCCGGATACCCCGTCCCATCAGACCTCAAGTTCTCCCAGAAGATCGCATTCCCCTTGATAGGCTTGAAAGTGATCCCAGACACATTCTCATTCTGAGCCATCTCGCAGTCCAGGAACCGACACCACTGTTCTCCGCGCGGCATCTTCAGACGGGGGAAATTCGTGCCCCCGCCTTCGCAGTCATCGCCTAGGTATACCATGAACGTGCTGAGTCTGTCGCCACCGCGGGCAACGGATCCCGCCCAGTCGAAGTGGTGCTTGTAGTGGCCGGAGACGTTGTAGCGTTGGGCCCACATGCGCTCGATGTAGAGGTGTGGTTTCCAGCCTTGGAAGGCGGCGGCGCGGGATTCGAGGCACCGGACGGTGTTGTCGCGGGGGAGGAGGGCGCGGTCGGAGAGTCGGGTTGAGGGGTCGACTTTGGTGGTTTGGCCGTTGTAGATTATTGAGGGGGAGTAGTTTGGTTCACTTTATTTGGTTTGACATTGTTTGGTTAGATTTGTTTTATGTGGAATGGGGCTGTGGGGAATGACAATGGGGATGTCTTGGACGACGTACCTTATCTTTACCAGGTGATCGGCTTCGGAGGTGGAGAGGAAATCTTCAATGTAGATGATTAGCGGGTCCTTGGAGAGGAGGTGGACTCGGTAGGTGTCTTCGGGACATGTTGGGATAATTCCGTCGGGAAGGCTGAGGATCTCGGGGTCCAGTGAGATGTCGCTTTCTGTTGTTGCGTCGATGTCTGGGTCGAAGATGTCCTGGGTTACTGGGAAGAGTTGGCGCAGGAGGGGAGCGATGACGAAGAGGTAGAGCGGAAGGAGGTAGAAGAGGGAAGTGAGGAGAGTGGAGAGGGAAAGTTTGGGCATATTGGTCAATTGGTCCGAGGCATTGGTCGTGGTGATTTTTGTGTGACCTGGGGATCGTAACAGGCAGGGGATAAGGATAGGGATGGTCTGGATGGATGGTCTGATCGCGGATTGATTGATATGATTGTTTCGCTGGTGATCGGATGTGCCGGGGAGCTTGATTCCGGTTAGTCAGCTATGCATATGCAGCGCGGCATTATCATGTTAGTGTGCATGTGACAGGTGACTGCTGTGTGGGTGTGTTGGATATCTCATTCTCCGGCATGTCCGGGATGCGGGGAATCGTTGGCCCCTGGTCAGATGAGCGTTTGTCAGCGGTCTGACTGTTATCAGTCGTCACTAAGGTTAGTAACTAGCCAGCTGGTCATGACCGTTTGGTCTCTGTCTCTTTACCCGGCGGACTATTGAGGACGATCCGGGTGCGCATTGCCCACCACGTTGAGATGTCAAGTTAGTCCGCCAGCAATTGCGTCATGGCACACGTAGTCGCAGAAAGAGTTCCAGGATCATCCCTTTAGCATCATAATGCGGCGAGGCTTGCGATAATAAATGAGCCAGATGCGGAGACTCCGCATTTGAGCTTCCAGAAGACGCGGAGTATCGTTCATGAGCCGAGCTGTAGGGGTCCTTTGGGTCGAAAGCGAATCCCCGCCGTGTAAAGGGACACCCGGTCAGCTGACAGCTAGACCACTTCGGGCTAGCGTCACCACTAAGCCTGCAGGCAACCTAGTGTGCCGCCCGTGACCAGACATCGTGTGGATTTCCCGCCTGGGTTTAGACTCGCCTACTTTACTTTGTTATCTTGGGTGGTCGCCTCGCCTCGCCGTCGCCTCCTCGTCTGCTCCAACGCTTACGATAACTAGCGCTTGATATGCAGGTCTTCCCCATCCCCTTCCCCGGTGAGCCGGGGTAAAGCTTTCCAGTCGGCCCTAGACGTCCTCTACCCGTTCATCTGACTCCGATCCACGGCGTACTTAGTCTAGATCGGCACCAATCTTTACACGTCTCGGCTATCCTCCGGCCCTAATCTCCACCAGGATTGGGTCAAGGCCTCTCCCAACCTCTCTGACTGGTCCTACCTGACTCCATGAGAGCTACGAGTGCCATTATCCCATGACAACCTTGACTAACATGCTGGACAAATGCCGGCTAAAGCCTTTCGGGTATCCCAAAGCCTCCGGCCTCTCGCTTAAGCTTGTGGAACCTGGAAACCAAATTCCTTGGTTCTCAACAGAATCATCTTCCATCTGGTTCGTCCGGGTGCCGACCTGAACCGGGAGAAAGAATGTGCTGTCCAGGGCGGCGATCTGTCGGGTCGCCAATGCCCCTTCACGCCTCAGCTCCAAGCTTTGCCCCTCCAAGACCGGTCAGCATTTGGTTGGACTCTTCAGGTGGCCCACCGGCAAATTCTTCACAACCTACTTTCAACATGGGTAAACTAAACCACAGGCGCAACGGGGCATCAGGTCGTGGAACTGTTCTTCTCCCCACCCCACTGGGGTATACTTTTGTTATATACACACTGACTCGGATAAACGCCTTAGCTAGCTGGGGGGAATACGGCCCTTATATACTTCCTGCGTTTTGGCCCCTGATCTGCGGCTGAATGTTTCCTGGCGAGACCTTCTCCGCGCCGGCTAAGCGAGACTCAACGTCTGGGGAAAACACTCCCCCGACCCATTCTCCCACATCACGGGGGCAAAAATTGTGGGAATCTTTCTGCATAGTCCGAATATTAAGTACCTCTAGCTGCATTTTCGGCGTATCACAGCCTTGCTATTCTGTATCTCCAGAATGGTCCTCCCCGGATGGGGTTTGGCCACGACGTAGATTGTGGAGAGCGTTCGAGGCAGGGGAGAAATCCGTATCCACATTCTGGCTGCTCCGTAGAACTCGTAGGAATCCGAAGATATTACTTATGGCCCGGCCCGTCTCTGCCTGTCCTCTCTTTCTTCTTTTCTCCCATCCATCTTTCCTGTTGACAGGACACCTCCTTATATTTTTCTTTCATCCTTGTCCTTGTTCATTCTCCTGTTGACAGGATTTTTCACGGTCATCAGAGTTTTCTCCTCCCTCTCGTCCTTCCTCCCCCTCCCTCTTCTCCCATACAATGGGTGGAATTCTTCACCTCGTTGAGGACCGTCCGACTCCCAAAAATGTCTACAATTGGCGAGTCTATGTGCTCGCCCTTATTGCCTCATGTGGTTCCAACATGATTGGATATACCAGTGGGTTCATCGGGACGACAATTACTCTGCCTTCCTTTGAAGCCGAGTTCGGCTTGGACAAGATGAGTGATTCGGCCGTGGATCTGATTAGTGAAAATATTGTCTCTTTGTTCATTGCTGGTGCTTTCTTCGGAGCTCTGCTCACCTACGGAATTTCTCACTTCTTTGGACGCAAATGGAGTTTGACCATCTCTTCGGCTGTCTTCATTCTCGGTTCCGGGTTGCAGATGGGAGCCAACGGCTCTCGTGGGCTCGGCATCTTGTACGCTGGCCGTGTCCTTTCCGGTCTCGGCACGGGTGTGGCATCCAACGTCGTCCCGATCTACCTGTCAGAGCTGGCTCCTCCGGCCATCAGAGGCCGACTGGTCGGCTTCTATGAACTTGGTTGGCAGGTTGGTGGTATGGTTGGTTTTTGGATCAACGTAAGTGGCTTTCCATCTTTTCTTTACCCTAATATTAAAATTCCTCCATCTCTCCCCATCGTTGCCTTATTTATCTTGTCACGTGCCAATGCTGATGACCTTTTCTACAGTATGGTGTTGAACAAACTATGCCCTCAGACCACCAGCAATGGGTTATTCCCTTTGCTGTTCAATTGATTCCGTCGGGTATGCTCTTCCTCGGCTCCCTGTGGATGAGGGAATCCCCTCGTTGGCTATTCCTCAAGGGTCGTCGCGAGCAAGCCATGAAGAACCTCTGCTGGATTCGTCAACTCGATGAAAACGATATTTACATCACCGAGGAGGTGGCTACTGTTGACCAAGCCATCGAGGAGCAGGTTGCTACTGTTGGTCTGGGCTTCTGGAAGCCCTTCAGGGCTGTCTTCCAGGCGCCTAGCTTGCAGTACCGCCTCTTCCTGGGTTGCATGCTGTTCTTCTGGCAGAACGCGTCCGGTATCAACGCCATCAACTACTACAGCCCGACTATCTTCGCCAGTCTTGGTGTTACTGGCAACACGAAGGGTATCCTCAACGGTATCTTCGGTGTCGTCAAGGCCGTCTTCACCGTTATCTGGTTGCTCTTCCTGGTTGATCAATTCGGACGTCGGAAACTTCTCCTGTGTGGTGCCGTCTGCGGATCCGCCTGCATGTACGCTATTGGTGCCTACATTTACATTGTCCGCCCGACGGAACACCCCCAGGACCACCTGAATGGCGGAGGTATTGCTGCCATCTTCTTCTTCTACCTGTGGACTGCTGTCTACACCCCCACCTGGAACGGTACCCCGTGGGTCATCAACTCGGTAAGTTCCCTCTACCCCAATCAAGCGGGGTCTCTTATGAACACCTTGCTAACTGTCCATGAATAGGAATTCTTCGATCCCAACATTCGTCCGCTGTCTCAGGCTTGCACCACGGCCAGTAACTGGCTCTTCAACTTCCTTGTTTCTCGCTTCACCGAGCAGATGTTCGCTGCGATGAGCTACGGCGTGTACTTCTTCTTCGCGTCGTTGTCCTTCTTCGCCTGGTTCTTCGCCTTCTTCCTCATCCCCGAGACCAGTGGTATCCCACTGGAGGCGGTCGACCAGCTCTTCAAGATCAAGCCGATCTGGAGGGCGAACGAGAAACTCAAGGAGCAGCTGAGAGAAGAAGAGGAACGGTTCCGTCACGAGATGAAGGATGGAGCGTTCGAGAAGAACGACCCTCAGGAGCATGTCGAGAGCGCTTAATTATTTGGCTTATTTTATGGTTATATACGGACTTAGACTTTGTAAATAGATTTCAGGAGTTGATATACATACATCGGATCAGGCTTTGACCTGCTGGCAGAACTACCGAATTCGTTCCTCTTCCGTGCATGTGACTTGGTTTCAGCGTAACATAGATGCCTAGTTTCTCGCCGATCTTACCATCCCCGACACAGGTCAAGTCACCAGTAGATACTTTATTTAGAGAGAACTGGTAGCCTTGTTCGATTCCCCATCCAAAAAAAGAGGAAACGGAGGCCCGGAACACCAGCCTTCCGGTCAGTTCTTGAATAGTATCTGGTGGCGGTTTTGATCACCACCACCGTTTACCCAGCACGTCACCCGCTGCATCTTTGTGCACTCTGTACGACCTGTGAAACCCAGTTGAACCCGAACTCTGAAATATGGAGCACACATGCAGGGTAGTATGTAGAATTATGAAGTTGCATCATCGTGCCCGGAGGAAATCTGGAGTGAAGAAATATATCCCTCCAGTCTGCAGCATCGATGCATATTCCAGAAGCAGCAAGGCAAAGGTAAGCACCACGACCGTCGCGTGGGATTCTCTGTGGGTCTTGGCGCTTACATGCGGACATCATTCATGCTACTAAAATATTTAGTCTACTGGTATGTGTCTTTTTCGAACAACCAGACACACAAAGAACCACGGGGAAACTTAGTTTGACAGGAATGTCCCCCTCCCCAACCTTTCCTATTCGTGCTCCGCGCCAGAAAGACCCGATGGATTCCGTCTTACATGCCAAGGGAGGGGCCATTCTGACTAAGAGGAAACCTGACCAACTCAGGCATCGTACCACGGTCAGATGTGACCTTCCAAGACTTCATCCACGGAGCGGGAAAGGTGCCAAGAGGGGGAGGAGGGCAAAAAAGAGAAGAACGTGAAGAAGCGGGTGGAGGAGATTTATTGGCATTGCAAGGCAATGTGGCAGTTCCTCCGAGCAGAAAGAAGAAGTCCACCACATGGTCTGTTACCGATCCATGTGCCTGAAAATTGAGGAAAAGACGGGCAAGAGAGTGAGACATTTGGAAGGCCATGATGGGGGATGACTAACAAAGGATTTCCAAAAATGCAATCGGTCGGCGCGGGGTTTTTGAGTGGATGACAGGGGATTGTTGGTGTATAATTACCGTATTGAGACGGTCGCTAACTATTACTAGTAATAAGCCCACTGCGTTATTTGACGGCCTGTTATTGCACTACTAGTGAGACTAGTAGGTTACTGACTGGGGTTTGTGAGGGGAACCATGCGCTATGTGTGCAGGTACTTTTACTTGCAATAATTTTTCACTTGTGTATATATTCAGTATTAAGATGGGTGGACTGACATGTATAGCAAATAACAGCCATTTGTAGTGGTCGCAGTAATAGCAGCCGAAGTTGAAGAGTCACAAAAGGGCAGGCAGACATTTACACACACGCCACCAGCCCCGCACGGCCTCTTGGCCCGGCCGGTGCCCAGGCCTCCAGGCTTGTCGCGTCTTGTCATCCTGGCCAGTCTTGTCCCCGTCTTCCGCCCGGCTGTGCAAGCGGTCTTTTCTAGGCAAGGCTCGGCTCTGAACCCAAGCCTCCCCCTCTCGGCCCAAGACTTCCTCCCTTCCCCTACTCCCCCCCTGATTCTCTGCTGTTCCTCTTCCTCTGGTCCGGCAATCTGTTAGTTTCCCTTATTACTTTCACATCCCCCCCGTATTTCTCTTTGCTCATATTTGCCATTTGTGTTTCGTGATCTTAACAACACTTTTGCTGTCCTTTCCTTTCCCCTTTCCTCCTGGCCAATTCCAATTCTCTCCCTTTTCCAGATATCCGGTGTCGGTGTGCGCATCTGTCCATTTTCTTGTCCGCCACTCCCTCACCGCGCCATCTGTCGTAGTCGATCCTCTTGTTTTCCCTTTATTAGCACCAAGAGTCTTGGGTCTCCCCATCTTTTCATCCCCTTGCACGCTTTAGGCGGACTTGTGTTGAGTTGCTTTCTACTTCCGCTGCTCCCAAGAAAGGGACAAGAAAGATTTTTCTTGGCAATGTCGGAACCCCAAGACACCACGACGGCCCCTTCGACGACTGCCGCTCCTATGCCTACCTCAACTTCCCAGGATTCTCCTTCAGCTCAGCAACCTGCTCAGGTATCCTCTGCGACCGCTGCTTCTGCGGCCGCGACGGCTGCGGCTGCCTCGGCTGCCGTGGCAAATCCCCCCATGAACGGCACCACCACTCGTCCTTCTGAGGAGTTGTCCTGCCTGTGGCAGGGTTGCTCGGAGAAGTGCCCTTCCCCTGAAGCTCTTTATGTGAGTTCTCCTGTTTTTCTTTTTTATATCTCTACTGTGATGATACAGTCCACTAGCAGTGGGCTACGTGTTGGCTTGACTCATCACATCCTCGTTTGGATGGGGTAGCTGACCGCCTCGGCTTAGGAACATGTGTGCGAGCGTCACGTCGGCCGCAAGAGCACAAACAACCTCAACCTGACCTGCCAATGGGGCAGCTGTCGCACTACCACTGTCAAGCGCGACCACATCACCTCTCACATCCGCGTGCATGTACCGCTTAAACCACACAAGTGTGATTTCTGCGGGAAAGCCTTCAAGCGCCCCCAGGATTTGAAGAAGCACGTCAAGACCCATGCCGACGATTCAGTTCTGGTCCGGTCGCCGGAGCCTGGAGCCCGGAATCCGGACATGATGTTCGGTGGAGGTGCCAAGGGTAAGCGTTTCCCAGTCTGACTGTTCTGCACTGCCGGCTGACACGAGATGTAGGCTATGCGACCGCTACGCACTATTTTGAGCCCGCGTTGAACGCGGTCCCCAGCCAGGGCTATGCGCATGGCGCTCCCCAGTATTACCAATCGCACCCTCCCCCTCAGCCTGCCAACCCTTCCTACGGAAATGTCTACTACGCCCTGAACCACGGCCCAGAGGCTACCCACGCTTCTTATGAATCCAAGAAGCGCGGCTACGATGCCCTGAATGAGTTCTTTGGCGACCTGAAACGGCGTCAGTTCGACCCGAACTCCTATGCTGCTGTCGGCCAGCGTCTGCTGGGCTTGCAGAGCCTGTCGCTCCCTGTGTTGAGCAGCGGGCCCCTGCCTGAGTACCAGCCGATGCCTGCGCCAGTGGCCGTTGGTGGTGGCGGATACAGCCCCGGGGGTGCTCCCTCCGCACCGGCCTACCACCTGCCGCCCATGAGTAACGTGCGGACCAAGAACGATCTGATCAATATTGATCAGTTCCTGCAGCAGATGCAGGATACTATATATGAGAACGACGACAATGTGGCTGCTGCGGGTGTTGCCCAGCCGGGCGCTCATTACGTTCATGGTGGCATGAGCTACCGCACCACCCACTCGCCTCCTACCCAGTTGCCGCCCAGCCATGCGACAGCAACCAGCTCTGCCTCAATGATGCCAAACCCAGCCACCCACTCGCCTTCCACAGGCACTCCCGCCCTCACGCCGCCGTCCAGCGCTCAGTCGTACACCTCCGGTCGCTCACCCGTTTCCTTGCCATCGGCGACAAGGGTCTCGCCGCCTCACCATGAAGGAGGCAGCATGTACCCTCGTCTGCCGTCCGCTACAATGGCTGACAGCATGGCGGCTGGGTACCCGACCGCTTCGAGTACCGCGCCGCCGTCTACCCTCGGGGGCATCTTCGACCACGATGATCGCCGCCGGTACACGGGTGGCACGCTGCAGCGCGCTCGTCCAGAGACTCGTCAGCTGAGCGAGGAGATGGATCTTACCCAGGACAGCAAGGATGAGGGTGAACGTACTCCTAAGGCCAAGGAGCACTCTTCGCCATCCTCACCCGAGCGCATCTCTGCTAGCTTGATCGACCCGGCTCTTTCGGGCACTGCCGCGGAAGCTGAGGCAACCCTGCGGACCGCCCAGGCGGCGACGGAGGTGGCCGAGCGGGCAGATGTACAGTGGGTGGAGAAGGTGCGGCTGATTGAGTATCTGCGCAACTACATTGCTTCCCGGCTGGAACGGGGCGAATTTGAGAACCAGGAGGCTGGCGGCGGCAACGGCAGCAGCAGCAGCAGCAACAGCAGCACTCATGAGCAGACACCAGAGGCCAACCCAGATACCCATATGGAGGGAGTGGAAACCGAGGCTCCAAGTAAGGCCGAGGAATCGGCTGTGAAGCCGGAGACAGGTGATGTGGTGATGTACCCGACACTACGGGGGGTAGATGAAGATGGCGATTCGAAGATGCCTTAGCTTGTTTGCTGGACAATATTTTCTTTCTCTCTGGGCTTATATTCTGTTATATTTGATTCTTCCGGAGCGAGTACTTCCGGTTGCTACGAACTATCTGGGTGCTAGTTTGATTCCCTGTCCACGTGCACGTGGTAATGCAGTGTGATTACACCCATGGGCCATGGGCCGTGTATATGTGGGCCCAGCCCTGGGATTTACTTCCTTTTATTTACGTCTCCTCTCTCATTCCTTGTTTCTTCTTTTTACACGGAGTTCTGTTGGAGGTGTGTGTATGGATGGCGCCGCGGAATGCATGGGACACGGCGCCGAATCCAAATGGCGTCCCATCTGGCTAGTTTATCTTTCCATTCAAGGACAAACAACGTCTGTTTCTGTTGAGCTCAATCCTGTAAATTGTAGACAAACAAATAGTTCCCAAGTGCGTAGAGCTACAGGCTGTTTTCGCTGGGTCGGGTAGGCTGTGATGGAGAGCCAGATTGGCAGACATTCCGATGGCGGGCCACTAAACCGCACGCGGAGAGGCATGACGCAACCAGCGCAGCGGAGAGTTTTGAGAAATGGATGGATCAAGCGCAGGGGCAGCGATGGGCGACGAGGCGATACGTTGATCCGACCCTCACAGACATGGATCAGCAGGGTTCGAACGTGCCCTCGATGATGCTTTTTTCCACCTTGCCTGATCCGGTGGAGAGGGAAGGAGGCCGAAGGATGCTTTTTCCCCAATGGGGAAGAATGGAAATGGAACCCTGTCAGGATGCCGGTCGGCCAGTCACTTGCTCTGTTTTCCGATGAATGCTTTCTCTCTCAGTCATAGTATTATGGTTGTCCCAAACAAGGGCGTTCCGGAGACTCCGATCGTAGCCGGAAGGCTGATGGTGACATGGACATTATTGTGGATATGTCATTTATTTTTATTGACTGGGATCTTTGTGCTGGTGCTGGCTGTAGCTACAGGTACATCCGACACTTGAGAGTAGACCGTGATATACACAGTAACTAAATACTTATCTCTCGAGGGGAGAGAATGAAGGCGGTGGAAAAGAGAGAAAGAAAAGAAAGAAGGAGCACAAACAGCACGAGCAACTGCACCCGGCTAGGCCGTGGTCTTCCTTCCATCCTGCATCCTTGCATTGGGAGGGATGCAGCTGGTGGGCTCCACTACCTGTTTACGGCGGTTGCGGCAGCCTCCACTGGTGGACATACATATTAAACCGGGGATCTACTGCGGTCGGGGAGGTTCGATAATGGGAAAAGGGGAGGTTAGTCAATTAGAGAAAGAAAGAAAGAAAGAAAGAAAGAAAGAAAGAAAGAAAGAAAGAAAGAAAGAAAGAAAGAAAGAAAGAGAGAAAAGGAGAATGGAGAAATAGTTGGAAAGGAATGGTACTGATTCAGATCCAGATCGGACAAGGGCGATCAGCCTTAAATTGGCGATTTATGAGCGAGACCGAACAACAACAACAACTGGCATGAATGTGTTGAAAGACGACAGCTGAGCACAAGTGAAAATAATAAAAAGAGAAAGAAGTTTGGCGGTGATTGAATTCATTCTTCGGCGTGTTCCCCACAACGGAAGCGGTCACGCTTGATCTTGTTTGGTCCAAACCTGAACCCGCGGCGCGTTTGCGTGCAATCCATTCACGACCGTTGCTTTTGCGTTGCAACTTGCTGGTCCATCAATCTTCTTCTTCTTTTCTTTCTCTTTGCTTCTCTTGCATTTTACTGTTAGAGTTGTCTTTTTTCTCTTTTTCAACTCCTACCACAATTTGACTCCCTATCACTTTGTCTTACACAATCCCTTTGTCCTACCTACTTTACTACCATCGAACTACTACTTACAATCCCGATCGACATCACACCCGAACCAAACTCTCTCGCGACCGGGTCTCTCCCCGCGGTGGCTGGCCCTTTTCTCGTCTGCATCAGTCAGCCACTTCCACTTCCTCTTCCTCCAGTTCGCGTCCGTCTTGCGCGAGTGGCAAACGTTCCCTTGGTTCTCGCTGCCTGGACCTGCCATCCCGGTTTGGGTTTGGATTTTCGCCTGCCCTTCGTTCGGTCGTCATTCATTTTCTCCTCGATCATTTGTCTGTGAATTTCTGTTCCGGCTGAGCTCATCACGGTTGGTCTGCTTTCGCCGCGGATTTCCTGCGACTCGACGTCAACACACACGACCGCTAGCTTCACCCTCTACCCTCAACATCACATCACCACCCACACCACGCTCCTAGATTAGACCCGTTAGACATCCACGCTGGCGACCAGACCACGGACGATACAGATTAGAGGATTTCGACGCTGACCCCGGTCTTGCGATCGTCCCATTTTAACCACCACCATGCCACTCTCCAACCGTCGTCGCGCGCGGCGCAAGGAAATCCAGCTGCAGGAAACATCGGACGCGGAGGCTCCGGATTCATCCCCGACGCGGCCGTCCAACAAGAAGCGCAAGGTGGGTAGTAGATGGGCTCCCAGCAGTGTATCAGGAGGCTCAGCTGTTGACTTACAAAAATAGATTGATCACCGTGCCTCTCCCCAGCCTCGACCCGTGAAGCAGGAATCTGCCGATGAAGCCGATGACTCGTCCCCCGATCAGGAACTGTCGGAAAACCAGGATTTGGTGGATATGGTGATCTCGTATCTGGAAACCGCCCGCGAAGAAGTACGCGTGCTCCGTGATCACTCCAACGCGAAAACCGAAAACAAGCAGAGCATCCGCGCCTACGCCAAAATCGCCGGCCGCAACTGGACCTACTACGTCAAAACCCTCCACGTCAATATCGGCCGCGAGCCCGACCGCGAACAAAAGTTGGATGAACAGTCAAGCCCGGTTACAATCGCCGCCCGCGCGCTGCCGGAGGTAAATGTGGATTTGGGACCAAGCAAGTTTGTGTCACGCCTGCACGCGGAGATCTTTTACGATGGCGAGGAAACGGCGTCCTGGCACATCCGCGTCAACGGTCGGAACGGCGTACGTTTGAACAGTGCGATCCTCAAGCGCGGCACCGATGCGATCCTTTCGTGTGGTGATATCATTGAGATCGCCAATACCCAGATGATGTTCGTCACGCCCGGCGATAAGGCCAATATTCATCCCACCTTTGTGGAACGCGCCCAGCGTCTCGCCAACGGAGAGGAGGATGTGGCTACCTGGGATGCCTCCCAGCATGCTCATCCCCAGCCTCCCTCGACGGCCGCTACTGCGGATGCGGCCCCAGCCACGACGGGCGCCCCTTCGCTGGCTCCCGCACCGCAGTTCCTCAAGCGTCAGGTGACGCCGCCCCCGCGGTCGCCCGATACGGTGGGAGCGCGCACGGCCAAGCAGTCGCCGCTGTATAACCGCGGTATGATGATGGAGAGTACGGAGGAGATCGATTACAGCAAGGATGCAGCCAAGGACTTGAAGCCACCGTACAGCTATGCGACATTGATTGCGCAGGCGATCTTCTCGAGTGAGGAGGAGAAACTTACGCTGAACAGTATCTACAACTGGATCATGGACAAGTACGCATTCTACCGCCACTCCCAGAGCGGTTGGCAGGTGAGATTAGTCTCTTCTATGTCGAAAGCGAAAATACTAACAAGTAGCAGAATTCCATCCGTCATAATTTGTCCTTGAATAAAGCATTCCAGAAGGTCCCCCGGCGCACAGACGAACCCGGCAAAGGCATGAAATGGCAGATTGCCCCGGAATATCGCGAAGAGTACTGGAAGAAGCAGCTGCGGAAGGGAACGCAATCGTCCGCCCCGTCGTCCCCTGCCACGAGAGATCCCGCCGCTCGGGGCGCCAACGGCATGGAGGCGGTGTTTTCGGCCACGAAGAAGTCTCCACCGGTGTCGTCTCCTGGATTCAGCTCATTCCCGGTTGCACCAATTGAAGCGTATACTCCCGAACGAGGCTCCCGTGCCGCCCGTAATGGTGCAGGTGCTCCCTTGCGACCTTCCAATACCCGTGACTACGAGGAACCATCTCCGCTGCCTACGCGATCCGCCACGAAAAACACCAGCAACGGCACCAGTCTAAGTCGGACTTATGGCCTGTCAGACAACATCGCCGGATCCCCGCCTGTGCTGTCGTCGTCATACTACGATGACGGGCCATCATCGATGATCACGCCAGCACCGCAACGCCAGCAGCCACGACTGCCTCCGCCTAGCACCGCACAGATTCCATCCAAATTCATGCCCATGAGCTCTCCCGCGCAGTTCTGGAAGTTCGCAGACATTGGCAGTACGCCGGCCCGGCCCGTGCCAGACATGAGCCCACTGAAGGGCGAATTGGGCGACGGACTGGGAAGTATCCCTAGCAGCAGTCCACCACCACCGAACCTAGCCAGTCCCAGCAAGCCAGGCACGGCCAATGGAATGACGACTGGCCGCATGCCACCACGCCGTGAACCAGAGACGAAGAACGAGCGACCTGACGAGGAGGACGACGAAGAGGAGGGGAGCGGATTTGACCTGGCGAGGTGGGTGCCTTCCATGCCTTTTACCTCTTGGGGAAGACAGTATACTAACTAACCTGGTATAACAGGGGCTTCCAAACCATTGGCTCGTATCATCGACAGCTGAGCAACGCGGCGCGGACGAGTGCAGCGACGTCGTAAGCAGCGAGCAGCTAGTCACGATGTCTGTATGTATGCATGTCTGTATGTTATAATGTATGTACTATGACCGGATTAGAGCGTATATTTTGTTTTGTCTGCTTGTTGCTTTGATTGCTTGCTTTGCTTTGCTTTAGTCTTACAACAGGGGCTTACAGCAATGGTGTTTGGAGGTTTGCTATTAGATAATGAGAAATGATGAGTATTTATATAGCATATCTTCCTATCAGCCTGGACTTTTTCTTGTTATTACATCTATCACAAATCAGACCACAGCATTTAAAGGTGAATACTAATGAGAGTATGAATATTTTATCATCTTCACATAACGCATAGTAGAAGTCAATAATCAAATCATCTCGCATTATAACTCAACACCATATAATATACACTGTTATGTTTCCAATTCACAGACATACTAGCCGTAAAAGAAAACACACATTCTTTATGTGAAAAGTCCTCGTTAATGATACTTGCATTCAGATGTAATGAACTAGGCAGTTAGCATATCACGAAGTATATTAATAGTAACTGTTCAGAGAAAGCAGATTGTAATTACTAGTAGGTGCTGTGTAGAATTGTTTACTTCAGTGCCAGGTATCTGGTCCACAATTTATACTACCTTATTTGGGAAAGAAAGGTGGCGATATGGGTCCTGTTTTAATGTGGATTCAGGGTTCCGTAGCTACTGCTAAGTAAGCTACAAAGCAGTTACGGAGGAAGAAAGATAAGATGGTAATGAAGGGCTTCTAGGTGTAAATAGACCGGATTCATAGTCATACATCAACGTCACCACGCTACTCCCTCTCGCTAACCACAGACTAGCTTGACCCCGAAAAATATCCCAGCTCACATCATACAGCAAAAGAAGTTGCGAATGGGATGGAATAACATTTCCAATTAAACTTAATATCGCTCCTCACAAATATAGCAAGAAACCTTGACCAGTCTATCGCGGCCCCAAATCCTCCCGAATCAGACGACCATCCCATCCATCCAATCAGACACCAACCACCCCAAATTACAAGAAGTGGTCGGATACGACTACTCGACTTGATATTATAGTACCTCTAGATATTGATCAACAACCCATGCCCCTCCCATAGAAAAAATTCAAAAAGGGATCCACATATCCCGCACACACACGTCACAGAATCACCATAAAGGGGATATGCTTCCGAGACCCTGCGCTAAAGATTGATTGATTATCTTATCTGATCAACATGCAATTTACATTGCTGATCGCTTATTAGTCCGGCCTTGGTTTGATGGATCCAGTTGCTCTGAGACATGGGAATGTGCCAACACTGCCAAGAGTGGTTGTCGCTGCGCGGGCGGAGAGGGACCGAGGTCGGATCAGGACAAAAGTTGTAAGTAGAAGGGAAGTAAGGGTAAAAATTGGGGATTGATGCTCGTAGTAAACAGCAGCAGCAGAGCTTTTTCTTCCAATTTATCTCTCGATCTATCACATCTTTTCAAAACCAAAAAGAAAACGAACAATGCGTCCCTCCAGCATCATCACTTTCCTCTCGTTGGCGGTTCTGCCTGTTGCGCTGGCTAGTCCGGTTGGAAGTAATCAGGTACTATTATACTCTTTCCTCTTTTCTATTACCTCTGTTCTCACTACGTGGAATGTTAATTAATGTCATATGGATAGGACTCATCCATCGTCAAACGCTGCTGCATCCTCTGCGACAATCCCTATGCGCGATGCGGAGCGAACGATAAGCGTGAAGCCGTCCAGACAGAGGAGGAAGTGTTCCATGGACAGGAGAAGCGGTGCTGTGTTAATTGCGATGTGAATCGTTGTGGGAATTAGAGGGGAATGGGTTTGTTGGGTTGTTGGGTGAGGTATCAGCTTTGAACTTAACTGGATTGGATTGGGGGTGGTTGATGATGACAAGATGTTGCAAAGTTTGGGGTATGTGAAGAGAGGTCCAAATGACTTTCTAGTATGATATGATCTATTGAGTAGAATATGTAAAGTGGCAGTCGGAATGTGAAGCATGAGGTGTCATTGATAGAATAGCCTACTCATCATTGCCCATACGCTGATGAAGTAATATACCAGCTTTGGCCTTGAGTTCTGGGCCAACAACTAGCCCATTATTTCCAGTGGCCACACGCAACCTCATTACTATTCCGCCTACATGCTCCCGACTAGCAGACGTATCTATTGCCCCTCTCCGGAAACATTTCACAATCAGGCTCTTAGTTTAACAATCGTCCCTCTACGAAAGGCACAAGTGTGCCACCTCGCAAGATGGTGTCCAATGTCTACCGTCCGTTTTGCGGGGTGATTCTGCTGCCCGACCCCTATTGGGATGGTCCGGATACTCCACAGTGCAGCGCCCGCCCTTGGTACGCACAGGTTCGGGGTATCTACTCGACCAATCCTGCCGTTGATCATATCAAAACTACTGGGGTAGGGGTAGTGCGCGGTCGGAAAACCCTCCATGCACCACTGGACAGCAATCGAGTCTACGGCGATGTAGCGTTTGACGCCCTAGATGAATGGAGGCTTTGCGAACAATCGGATAGCCAATGGTGTTTTGGATTTCACGAGTCGTGCTGGAAATTGCTCATTTTGAGGCTCAACCATGGGCGAGTCGGATCGCTATCACAAAATGACGCCGCAATTGCCGAAATGGTATTCTACCAACTCTACTGCACTCCGTGCCTCGAAGCCTCCATCTTCCACTTCGGCCATGACTATGCGGGCGCTGCGCAAACACATAAAGTGTTCGGGCGGATACAGCCGGTGGATCTGAACTCCCATCTTTATGCTGACCCCTGTGCCATCTCGGTTATAAATTATCCGACTGATTTCAGTTCTGCTTCTGAAGAATTGGGGAGCAGTCCCGGGCGAAACTTGTCGCATGGTAACTCAAGAGTAGGAAGCCTTGCAAAGGCGGGGGAGAGGAGGTACCATGCTTTTAGCAACCTCTCAATTGAGCTGCTGCTTGAGATCTTTTCCTATATACCCTTTGAACAGCATCTCACTTTGAGACTCGTATGCCACGATCTAGCGGTACTCGCAGATATGTCTATGCTCTCACGGTCGTATTGGCGGAGTAGGTTCCTTCTCGGCCAGGAGGTTGACTTTGTTTTCCCTTGTCTTTCAAAATCACAAAATTGGTTCAGACTTTTCTTCGCCACGAGGGCATCTTTAAAAGCTGCCACGCTACCACTGGTCAATCGAAAGAGAATCCGGGACCTACTGGAGCCTATCGCGTCTCTTGTGGACCTAGACTTCTTTTTTCGACGCGGCCCCGGCGGACTGGCCTATTGTCCATCGCTAATGCGAGGGAACAACTTCACCCTGGTTGATATAGAAAGGTTCCAAGAGGGCCCACGGCTAGCGAAGGTTGTGGACTACTTCTCAGGTCAGCTGGCATACATTGATGAAAATTGCCCCCTGCAAGAGGGATGTCGTGTGCTCTATCGAAAGGCACAGCCCTTCATGGTCCCGCAGGAAGAGCATAGAAGGCGAATTGGTATATCAACTGTCAAGATCGGGGCACGCCGGTTTATCTCTGGTATCAATATATTGCCGTCGGACGAAGGCAACTGCGTTGGTCGATTGATTGGTTATCGCAATACCGCTGCCGAAACGTGTATAGACGTGCCCACAAACCACTTCATCAAGCTTTTTCGCGTGGCATTTTGCTTGGAAGGCTTAGTGGGAATCCAGTTACAATACGATAACTCTGCTTCATCACGCTGGATTGGTGATAGCAACGGCCCAGGCATTGCTCAAGGAACACTGCAGATTCCGACAAGAGCAGATCAGTACCACTTGCTTGCGGACATAGACCGGTTCAAGATTGTTTCACTTGGCCTTGCTGAATGGATTGACGACCATCAAAGCTCTTCGCATCGGACTCGTTCGGACGTAAAGGAGCCGTTCCACACGCCTTCCCAACTGTGGGTTCCCCATGCCCCCATGCATGAAGGCTTGCTTGTCAGCCCCCTTCTACCGTCTGAGACACCCCGTGCCTTTGAACCGCTGTCAAATATTGACTTCGGTGGCCCAGGAGGTAGACGTCTCATGTCGTTAATCCGACTAGACTTTCACATGACATCCTACCCGCACCCTCTTATCGGCATTGGTTATCACTACGCCGACGGAAAGTCGGTGTTCTTTGGTTCTACGGGTGGTTGTGCCATTTCGATTCCCATCAATGGCCCAAGTGGTGAACGTGTCAGCGGGATAAGCATCGTGGAAGATAATCGTGATTTCTATCAATCTGAAGGCCTTGGTGGGCTACAGGCCTGTCCTACTTTATTCCCACCAATCTGTGCACCATGCTAACCTTGTCAAGGTGTCAACTAACTATGAGCGGTCTATCATACTGGCTCCCCTTCGCTATAGGCTCGAAGCATCTGTTACACCAATACCAAGCTTGCCGCCTGGCCATTTCATCACAGGGCTTGTTGCCCATCAGAAGGTAGGTGAAGCTTCATGAACTAGTTCGAGCAATAGCTAAGCAGGTGACAGACATACGGAACCCATTTTATCCGAGTCGGTATCCAGTCACAATTCTGTGACGAACCATCCACAATTCCACACATCGTAGACCGAGAATGTCATCTGGTGCCGGATCATAAAATTCGTTACGATGAGAAATTCTCTCATTTCATTAACGGCAGCAATTCAGGTAACTATCAAAATTATGCATCACTAAAGGGAATCCGGAAGATTCAGGCATCCGCTGGCATATCGGGTTGGTCTCGCCCCCAAAGTGGCATCTCCGGCCTGAAGCTTGAGTATTACAACCATCCCAGTCCAGCCATTGTTGGACAGTGGATGAACGAAGTTGAAGATGGATTTGATATATCACCCGACGAAGAAATCCAATCAGTCACCGTGTGGATCGCTCCTCTGGGCTATTCTTCCGAGTCTCCGGGGTTGGCAGTGGGTCAAGTCGCAGCCATACGCTTCGAAACAACATGTGCGCGCAGTGTGACTTTCCGTTCCCCGTACTCTCATACCTTTCCCACTGGAATGATACGAAATGAATATCAACGTTGCTTCGATGAGGAATTAACAGCCATCTCATGGATCTTCAACGAGGCTTCGGACCGCGTCCGAGCAGTGAATTCTCCCCACAGAAACTGGAGGCCTCGACTACTTGTCCCAGAAGTCTCTCCTCCTTTTGACCTGGTGCGGAAGCTCTACTTCGAGACGTGGAATGACAATACCTGCCCCGAAAAGGTAGTCACCATCGAAGCCTACTTTCGAGGCCGCGCAATCATTGGACTGCTCTTCGTCTATAGATCAGGTGTCATGGCAAGCACGGGCGATTTAGACACCGACTCTCGCCAGGCCGTTCATATTGCGCGGGATGATAATATAGTCGGCATGTCAGCTACAGTCGCAGGATCGGAGCTGGTTGAGATTGACTTCGAGGTCGAGCACAACGCATCGCCCAAAAGCCAGAGGCTTAGTCTCGCCCTCGAACCACCGTATACCCCGGAAACAGCTGTGGATTATGAATGGCGAGATGTATGGTGTAAGGATAGGGCAGCTGCAGAGTGCACTACCCTGCAGCGCGGGAGCGACAAGGTATATGCGGCCCCGAGCAACTCGAGACTTATGGGAATCTACATTGGGTGTCAAAGATTCAGCAACGTGGGAGCAATATACGAGCCAGATATTTCTCATTGATGACAGAGATTCAAGCTTCTTTTAAGTATCAGTGTGCCAGAAATTCAGATTGTTGTAGTGAAGCTTTCGGGTCCAGAGCCATTCAAGGAGCTATAATGTAACTCACCGTCTCAGAATGGTTATATCTCAACTAGTATAGTATAGATTTCTCTAGATATTTATATATGAATATATCAGATATCAAAGTATGTATAAGAAAGCATATATAACTTTGTGGATATAATAGGATACTGTTTCACTACTTGAAATGTTTATATGTTATTTGTATTCTATTGGAACGGTTTAAAAATGAAAAAAAAAAAAAAAACCCTCAAAATTATTTATTATCTCTATTATCTTTACATTTGATACTCGGCTCGCAAAAGACCAGTTTTGTATGCCATAACATGGGTGGCCGGCGCGGCCGGGAGTTAGTACGTTAACAGGTGGTGGAGTCTAGCAATATGACTACTCGTCTAGTCCACACACACTAACAAGGATCATGAAGCACTCGTCGGTATGATGCCCCATCAATCTGCCTGCTACTACTAAGCGTTAAGTGAAGGAAAGAAAATGGCTACGCTGCTCCATCCACCCCGCCTTGACTCGCACAGTACACGATATCCCGAATACAGCCTTACCCAGCTCAGTATTTGCTCTTGTGCGCGCCAATCCTAGCATCAGCTAAGTCCGAGCACTTCTTTTCACTCGCTCGAAGCCATGATAACGAGTCATTGGCCATGCCAGAAGTGGGCGCTTAACAACTCCGCACAACTCGAACGGCGTAGCAGATATGGCCCCCAGACCAAACACAAGAGCACGAAACACCAGAGCTAGCAGACCATTAGCCGCCGAGCCACCCAAGAGGGAACACTAAAGAACCATGCTATAAAAACAAGCCATCTCCATCTTTTTCAAAAACGATCATTACCCTCCATGAAACTCAATCAATTATCCCAGTCTGTTTCCCCTCCCCAGGCTGCCCCTACCCCTACATCCCCTGCCGTCTGCCTCCCCTAGCAAAGAGCAACAGCAACATCACAATGTCCAACGACAGCAACAGCAACGACCTCGCCCCTCCATTCGGCTACCCCGTCCGCCGTAACGGCACCTGCTACGACACCGAAAACGACTGCGGTTCAACCTGGGGTCCCTACCGCGAATGCTGTCCCGAGGGCGCCACCTGCGCCCCCGGGAACTGCTGCCACTCCGCCGCAGCATGCGGCAACATTCTTAAACTGGATCCGCATTGTGGGAATACCTCGGCCCTTTTGTATTATGAAAATGACTACTTCTGTTGTTCGAGAGGGCTGGATGCGTTTGCAAGGGTGTCGAATGGGTTCGTGGGCTGTACGGATGATGTCTCCACGTTGGGGTCGGAGTTTAGTTTGTTGTCGCCGGTTTCGACGACGAGTTCGTGTATGTTTTTTATGTTTCCTGCTGCTGCTTGACTTGATGGGTTGTGGTTAACTGGGAGTAGCTACATCTGCTACTACGTCTGCTACTGTGACGTCAGATGCATCTTCGTCTACATCGACAGCAGATACTAGTGGTCTATCGTCGTCGGTAATATCATCGGCGACTGCGCAATCTACGACAAATGTATCTTCAAACACAAAAAGTAAAACGAATACGGGTGCCATCGCAGGCGGAGTAGTCGGTGGTGTCGCCGGCTTAGCACTCATTATCTTCCTGATCTGGTTTATGATCTCGAGAAGGTTACAGGCCGCACGGAGACATGCGGATGATGATGATATGCCTTCGACATACATAGGTCATCGAACTAAGAACAATCATCCGAGGGAGCTGCAGGGAGATGCGGCCGCTCCACCTGTTGCTGAGTTGGTGTCTGCTCCGCCGGTTTATGAGTTAGGTTCACGACCTCCTGTTTATGAGTTGGGGTCGAGGCCGCCTGTTTTTGAGTTGGCGGGGGGTGTGGATGGGGGGAGGATATGATTATGTTGATGAGTGGAATCACTTATTGTATATATTGCATACTTTTGACTATGACAAATTCTAAAGAAGCAGGATGTTTTCTCCTAATCCTACCAAGTGGTTAGGAGACATTTCACTTTTCTAGCATCTCTTTGAATACCGATCCTGAAGCACTGGACTAAGCTTAGATTTGCGAGTATGTATTCTTAGCAGACAAAAATTAGTAATGGCTAGTACAGCGCACTCCATCACACTTTAGAGGCGGCCCAGATCATGCTGTACGACTGCGGCGGTTAATAGCGGCCATCGAACAAATGCTTTTATTGAGATCATGATACAGTGTATAAACGTCAACATCTCAAAAAGCTCTAGAATACATGCTCTTACTATGAAATCCAAAGCATTTAATGTACGAGAGTTCGCTGATGTAGACTGTGGTGAGGACATTAATACAATCAATAGTGATGGCTGGGATGCTGAAAATAACGCAGGGTCTGTGACTATGAGATAGCAAATGAACGATGTCCTGGCTAGTCTATATCCAGCGCTACTTCTACACACAGTTAGTGGTTGCTAGCATGCAGCTGTTAACTAGTAGTCTCCACTCAATGCTGCGCCAGGACCTTATTTCATGGCTCGGGGATTAGAGCGACAAACTCGGGGAGATCACGATCGACCTGTTAGCCGAGACCCGAACGTTGTTAGTATTCCAGCCTCGACTTTGTGGATGATTACCAGGTCAGAAGTATAGCTCTTATATCGTTGCTGTGTGGGTCACATTCAACAAAAGATTGGTTTTAGTACATAGCAGCAGTATATCATACAGCATCGGATACCAAATACCCTCCGAACAGAAACGGCAACACCCGACCAGGAACAGTAACTAACCCTCATCCTCCCCCCTAATTATAGCCGGTCGAACACTAAGTACCTCGCCCCGCCGGTACCACTACTCATTTCAGTTTAGTTAGTAGTAACTCGTCCACTTGATTATCCTCCTGCTTTTTCAGACTTAGTGACTTTTACAATGCTATTCTATCCTTAATAACTCCAGCCGCCCTTTCTCACTTATCCAGCTTGCCCGCTTAGTACAATATCACAAGCGCCCCGAACATCCAATCGAACCGATATTTTGATATTGAGTGGGCCCCTTTGCAGATCCATTCCAAGTTCAGAGTCTACTTACTCGATAGAGATTAGAGAGACAGAACTAGCTGATAGCAGCCCCAACGGGGAACATGAAGGGTGGGCCAACCAGCAGGGAGGATTGAGGTCGGTGCTGAGCGGGGTGGCTGCTGTCGCTCCCGTCGGCTTGGGGTGGGCTTGGTTAAGGCTTAGGCTTATGAAGTAGGAAGGATCCTGAGTTGAGTTGGGTCGGAGTTCTTTGACTGTTAACTTGATGTATGCATTGAATGACAGGTGGATTTTGTTCCTCATGTAGCATGCATTCTTGTGAGCTTACTATGAGGGATAGGATATGAAAGCATACACACATGATAGTACAATAAAGCAAGGTGTATACAGAACAGAACATCCTCCAACTCCTGGAACACCAGTAATAGAAACCAAAGAATACCAATAACACAACATCCTCCATAACCCAAAGAACCACCCCCCTCAAAAAATCAAACCAGATTCCTCTTCCCCCCATCCTCCCTCCCTCCAAACCCACCCTGCACCGTCCTCGGACTCTGTAACCGAATAGGCTGATGTCGTTGTCGGGCTCGAACAAACCGCACCGCACGCAGTATCCCCAATACCACCAGTACCAGCAGCGCCAACTTCATCGCAACACCTCCATAGTTTCCAGGAAAGGGCCCATCCAAGCGATGATGTAGTAGTAGTGCATGATGTGGATGATTGTTGGCGTTGATGTTAGCGTTGTCGGCTGACGCTCCCGGCCGTTCATGATGATACCCATGATGGAGAAATGTGCCGTGAGGGATGTATTTTTGCTTATTATCGTCTGCTTTTGCATGTGCATCTTGACCACCATGTTCCGGAATAGGTAGAGGGCCTGGAGGATGGTATTTCTTTTCATCGTCGCTGCCAGCTGCGTTGTCGGAGTTGCCTTGGAGTTCCAGCCATCGCTCGTAGTCGGTTTTGGGTCGGTCGCGGGCGGTGATGGCTACCATTTTGTATTTGGTTTGGTATTGGATTGAAGGATATTTGGAGTTGGGGTAATGATAATCGTGACGATAATGATAGCCAAGGTGTGTGTACGTGTGTGGTGTAAGACCAAGCAAAAAATGATAAACAGGTGAGAAGCTTGTCTTGATCAAAGCCAGACAGAGTGTGGATGTGAGAGTGAAAGTGGATGAGATTATCATTTGGGAATGAACAAACACCAAGAAAGACAAGACAAGAAAAGACACCCGCCCCGATAAATAAGTTGTCAATGCTTTTTTCCTGGACCGGGAATCAGCCAGTCAGTCAGTCCAGTCAGACAGAAAAGGCACACGAAAATGACTAGACTAGGATGCGACACAGCCTACTAACTACTTCACTACTAATATGTACTGTTATGTAGGACAGGAATCAAGAGGGGGCGATCGCCGCCCATCAAACAACGCCTAATAATGGATGGGGTAATGGACCGGGTTCTAGCGCTACGACGTTACTAGATTAGATCCGGAAATTCCAGGGCTACCTACAGTGGTATGTCAAAAGTTTGCGTTACCCTACTCTATACGCTAGTGGTCCCGCCTTCCTGATATAGTAAGATCGAGATTATTCTGCCTACCACAACAAAATATATGAAGTCTCTGATCATAAAACCTATATAAATCTGTCATGTTGCAAAGAATTAATATCCTTATATCAATATCTATGAGGGCTTCATGATCACACGCTTTGTATGCATTGTTTTGGTTGACAGAATATTTTCGATCTAACTGTATTTGGAAGGCGGAATCAAATTGGGTTAGCGTATAATATGGGGCAACGCAAACTATTGACATACCACTGTAGTAAGTAGCGCCGGGCGTTTCCCCCTGAGCTGAGGCGGTTAGGGACCCGGTGAATCCCTGGAATTCTCGTTAGTTAATTGGTGTATTTTCCGTGGGTGAGACCGGATCAAACCAGAC